CTACTGCAAGCAACATAACGTCCACGTTGCAGATTTTGTGGAACTACATACCACGACTCCATCATGAAAAATAAACCTAACCATGACTCCTACAGCTTAGGGATTCTCCTCTAGACTAGGTAAACAAGTCTCCTAACTACATGCAAACACTTTATTAAAAAATAAATAATCTAAAGATAAATCTTAATAATATTTCCAGTACCGTGAGAGGTATGAGTGAGAGAGAGAGGGATCGGGTCGGCGAGGTGGTTGCGAAGGAGAAGACAAGAGGGATCGGGTCGGGTTCGAGCCCGTGAGAGGTAAAGATTTGGTGGAACGGAGGGAGGGAAGAAGAGAGGAACGAAGGGAAGGGGAGTCGAAGAGGTGGCGGATAAGAGGTTTTGAATTTGGGTTGCAAGAGGGGGAAAGGTGTCGGGGAACAACCAGATTACGTTTTGCTTTTTTTTTCTTTTTTTTTTTTTTTGTTTTTAAGGGTAAATTATTATTTTATTAATTTTTTTAATAAAAAGTCAAGCCACGTCAGCATTTAACAGAGGAATTGACAGACAATTGACGGAAGGTATAAGATTACAACAAATTCGAAGATAAGGTATGACATTGAAACTTTTTAAAGACGTCGTATGAAACTGTTAATGACCCAATAGTTGAGGTTGTTTTAGTAATTGACCCTAAATTAAGGCATGTTAAAAACCATGCCATACAAGTTGAATATCATGTCATCCAACAATAGCAAAATTGACAATAGAAAGACTACATAAAGAGCATGTCGTGAATGTTCTTAGTTAAGATCAATGATCCATCACATCCAGAATTCATGTGGTCTACCTTAAAAGACAGACACTCCAACTATCATTCATGAAGATAATGCAGCGTATGTTGTCAAAATGAAGGTATGATTCATCAAGGGCGATAAGACTAAACACATATCTCTAATGTTTGCTTTGTTGGGCGCCATGAAATTTTTGTATTTCTATATGTGAACACATATCTAGTTTGTGAGCGGGCTTTATGAGGATAAAAAAGAAAACCAGCATCTGCATATCCAACAAATTTGGTCATTTATGGATTTCTCTGAGCAGAGGAGGCCCAAAACTATTGTCTCATGAAGGTGTCACAAAACATCTTTGACTCCCTTCCAATGCCCAATTGTTGGAGAAGAGTTATACCTTACTAATAAGTTGACTGAAAAAGTTATATCTAGTTTAATACATTATGCTAAATACAACAAAACACCTATTGCACTTAGATATGGTTATTCTGGGCCAAGGACCATCTTATCATTTTCTTTTGGGCGAAATAGATCTTAATGTCAAAAGACTGAACGACCATTGGTGTGCTGAGTGGATAAGCCTTGTCCATGCCAAATCACTTTAGGACATTTTCAATGCAAGTTGATTCATGTCATCGATATATACATATACTGCCACTATAGCGAACCCAGAGTTTGATTTCTTAATAAACACATAAGGGCAAATGACATTATTTGTATATTCTTCCTTGATCAAATACTCACTGAGAGAATTATACCACAGTTGTCCAGATTGTTTCAGCCCATATAATGATCGCCTTAATTTGATTGAGAGCATACCTCATTGTTTTGTTAGTCGTTTCAGGCAACTTAAGTCCTTGTGGGACTTTCCTATAGATACCAATATCTAATTCTCCATATAGATATGCGGTGATGACATCTATAAGTTGCATATCAAACTTATTAAGTAATGGAATGTAATTTCATCCATTACAGGAGAGTATGTCTCCCTATAATCAATTCCAAATCTTTGTGAAATCCTTGTGCAATGAGTCATGCTTTAGATTTTGTAATCTCATTGCGCTTTCTTATGAATACCCATTTTTAACATACGGGGTTCACGCCAGGTAGGGTTTGGTCTACTGATATAATAACACTTCGCCTTTCTAAGGAATTTAATTCTGTCTAGATTGCATCTTTCCACTTAGGCCAATCTTGTCTTTGTTTTTCATTCATCGACAGAGTGGTGCTCAGTATCATCATTTAAATGATTTCAGCAGCTACTGAGAATGCGAACATGTCGTCAATCATCTTTTCATTTTGATTCCACAATTCATTATTACATGCATAATTTATGAGATTTGTTTGCTTTCATGTACTTTTGTCTCTTCAAGGATGTGTCTCATCAAGGATATTTTCTTTTTTGGAAGTACAAAATCATGAGTTGTGGATCCATCATTTATTTTCTTTTCATGAATGATTTCATTTGGATTCAGGTGTGCCTTCATCTTCCTCTTTCGCGGAGCTGAATCTTTTGAACTTAGGGGTCTACCAACCTTCAGGCATGTACTGGATGAATCATTTGCTGCCACTTTGTTTTGTCCAACAGGGACATCAATTCTTGCAAGTGCATTTGCTATTGGTATGTGTGATTTGTCACTTTCTTTGCATCATCAAATGCATCTGGCATTTGATTAACAATAATTTGAAGATGAAAGATTGTTTTTACTTCATCTTCACATTAAGTGCTTCATGGATCGAAATAAGACAAGGTGGGTACGTCCCATGTTATTTCTCGTCTTTCTTTTGGAACAATCTTTTCTCATCTAACGGCAGGAAAATTGTCTCATCAAAGTGATAGTTCGCAAAACGAGCGGTAAAAACATCACCCATCAGGGGTTCCAATATTTAATGATACATGGTGAATCAATGCCCATATAAATTCTCAGTCTACGCTGAGGTCCCATTTTAGTATGTTGTGGTGGTCTAATAGGCACATAAACAGCACAACTAAAGATTCGGAAATGCAAAATGTTTGGCTGATACCCAAATAAAAGTTGTACTAAGGAGTTTTGCTGGTTGGCAATAAGCCTTAATCGAACTAATGATGCAACATGTAGGATGGACATGTGCCCATATAAAATCAGGGTAATTTTGTTTTCATGAGTAGAGCGCTAGCTATTAATTGAAACTTGCTTAATAGATGCTTCTACTAAACCATTTTGAGTATGGACATGAGGAATAGGGTTTTTAACAACAATGCCTAGTGTCATGCAATAATCATTAAATAGTTTAAGATGTAAATTCACCACCATATCAGGTTGGATTTATTTAATAGGATGGTCTAGGAACTGTGCTCAGTAGTTTAATTATCTGAGCAAGAAGTCTCGCAAAAGCTACATTTTGAGTAAACAAGAGGCAAACATATGACCATCGGGTAGATGCATCAACCAAAACCATAAAATATTGAAATGGTCCACAAGGTGGTTGAATAGCCCACAAATATTTGTTGAATTCTTTGAAAAAAAGATGAGGTTTTAGCATCAATCTTTGATTGTGATTGCCTAACTACTAACTTTCCTTGAGAACAAGCTTGGCAAGGGTTATCATTTGATATAGCAATATGTCTGCTTAATAATGGATGCCCATTAGAGTTGGTAGTGATCTTACACATCTTGGTGGATCCTAGATGACTCAGACAGTCATGCCAAAACATGTAAATTTTGGATCAATGAACTTTTGGTTCATGACAGTATGTGCTTCAATTGTCTTTATGTATGTATAATACAATCCACTCGATAGACCACGCAAATTCTCCAATTTACGCTTCTGGGTATCATTGGAGGTAATGCATAGATATTCCACATTATCTTTTCATTTCAACGTGGTATCCATTCAAACATATATCTTTAAAACTTAACAAATTTCTTGTAAATCCAGTAGCGTGCAATGTATTTTGTATGGACAATACTGTTCCATTTAGTAACTTGACCTGGGCTTTTCCTAAGCCTTTAATTACATCTGATTGGCATGGTATTGTTATTACCTTTGATTTTGTAAGTATTAAGCTTGAGAAATACTTTCGATCTCGAAGTATTGTATATGTCGTTATGCTGTCTATAAGACAAATATCTTCGCCATTGTTCTTGTTTTGAGGACAATTAGAGTTAAAAGCAAGCTTTATGAGTAGAACAATTAGAGTTAAAAACAATTTATTTATAATAAAAATGAAATTGCAATGCCACTTTTTATTGAATTGAAATACAAGCTTTAAACTACAAGTTCAGATAATAAAGCAAAAATACATTGAACATAAAATGATTTAAACAAATCGATATACTTCATTCCCTCTTTCCTGCAACGAAGTCAGAAACATCCAGATGGGTTGTGTTCAATTGACCTCATAAATCGAACATTGGATTAGATATATCCATTGGTTTCGACACTTTTTTCTTTGAGGCAGGCTTGACACAGATCCACTAGATGTTTTGGGATATGGCATGTATGCATTGAGTGCCCATTGCCACCACACCTTTGGTAGACTTCTTCATGATTTCTAGGAGTGTTATTTATATAAGGTTTACCCTTGTGCCGGTTTACATTTTTGAAGTTCAGGCCTGGATTATGCCTTGAACCCATGTTGTAAAACTGGACGCCATGGTTCTTGCCTTTCACATTCCATCGACCTCACTTGTGGTCACATCTTCGTCTGTAATTATTGTCACGAGGTAAGGTGGTGTTTGCTTCAAGAGAAGCATCATTCGCTTTTGGGAATGGAGCTGACCCAGTTGGTCGGGACTGATATTTTTTATCAGGAGCACATTGTTCTGTTAAGCCACCAGGGGCACTAATATCAACTAGTCGCAGTAAAGTCTTGCTCTGTATACTGCTGTTGTAAGACCATGTTGGAGGCATGAAAAGTATTGAAAGTCTTTTCCAACATATCTTCCTCAATGATAGTCCCCCACAAAGTTTCATTTGGGAGCCAATTCTGAACATTGCAAAGTTATATTCAGCAACCGTCTTATAATCCTGGATTCTCAAGTGTGTCCACTCATAACAAGCTCTTGGGAGAATTACCGTTGTCTGGTGATTATACCTATTCTTCAATGCATTCTAGAGTACCAATAGGTCTTCAGCTGTTAGGTACTCGCTCTTTAATCCTTCATCGAGGTGGCGACGAATAAAGATCATGGCTTTCGCCCGATCTTGAGAGGGATTCATTCTTACCCTCCTTGATGGTGTCTCCAAGATGTTCTGCCTCCAAATGGATCTTGGTATCCACTGCCCAGGTAAGGTAGGTTTTTTCCAGTGATATCAAGGGCAACAAAATCAAGATTTTCCAAGTTCGCCATTTTCTTTTTTTTTTTTTTTGGAAAAGAAAAATGTGATGTGTAAGAACTTGTAATAATATTGATTCTGGAGGGATGTAATGTTAGAACTTCTGGTTCTTACAAATTTTTTATTTTTATCTTCAGACCAAATTGATAAGCACTTGAAACTTCAGGCTCGAGATTTACATAAACTGGACATTAATTAAAAAATATTAGGTAGTTAGTAATACTCACTACACAGACACTGCCATCAATATGAGTATTATTATTAGAAAGAAAGAAAATTAATGAGGAAGGTAGAAAAAAAAAGAAAAAATAGGTAGTGAATAATCCTCACTACATAGGCTCTACCATCAGTATTGAGTATTACTGACAGAAAGAAGGAAAATTAATAAGGACGGCGATTGTACCACACCACTCTTATTAAAATAATAGTGTAGAATGAGCAATTATATTGCACCAGCAAAAATTGCAGTAAAATTAAATATGCAATGGAGGAAGAGAAGGGAAGAGACAGAGAGAGGGAAATGTTTTTGTAATTTTGTATTGAATGTTTCCAAAAATATCCATTCTGCTCAACCCCACCAAATTGATTACATATATGATTCCACTAACACCAAATGCCAGCTGGCCATACGACTACCACAACTTGATTACTACTTATTACAGTACTATTAAGCTACTAATTGCAAACAGATAACCACAATCGTAACAATATATGTGGAAATTTTCCATTGCAACGCATTAAATCTTTGTCTTTTTTCATCTTCTTGCAGGCAGTTATCAATTATGGTGCGTCTTGGTATGTCTCTTTCTTCTAGTATTTTGGAAACTATAAGCAATTCAATTTTGCACACAAGGTGTTCGATGAATTGCCTCCCACTCAATTGCTTCGATTTGGTCTTGTTTTCAGGTGCCGTGTGTGTAGCCAAATCCTTCCTGCATTCTGTCATCTGAGTAATAGTTTCGCCAAGCTCTCTTTCATCTATGCGGACATTGATGAATGCCCCGAAACAACCCAGCATATTCGCTACACGACCACCTTCCATTTCTACCGGGATGGCAAAGGGGTTGATGAGATGTTTGGTGCTGGAGAAGAGCGGTTGCATGATCAGTTGTGGTTGCATTCGTGAATCGGGACATGTTAGGGATAATTGTTTTGAACATTTTAGCTATGGGTGCTGTCATCCAAGCTATTGCATTAGTTGATGTTCCAGAAGCTCAAAAGATTGGATTTTCTCACGTCCAGCAATGAAATTTGAATATTGCAGTCTACGATTATACAATTACTTGATTTCAATCGTTCGTAATGAGCTTCTACTTTGGCATAGAATCCTCAACAGTCAAGATTCTAGGTTCAGAAAAAATGGGAACATGAAAAATGATAAAACAACGAAAGACAACGCAACAAAATACTACCGGCTCCTAACTTTGCTGCTGCCTCAACTAACCGCACACATCTCGTCTTCTCAACTCTAACTTGAGCCTTGAAATGTAGACCTCGACATTCAACGCATGCGTTGAAAGTTTCTTATTCTTCTCTAACGTTATGAACAACGGCTATGATGGTAACCACCTTTACGAAACTAGCTCGTTATGTTAAGCCTTTGGCTTGAGGATCTTGATGGTCTCCCATGTGAAATCTGGATCATCGCGTCCAAAATGACCATAAGCAGCAGTCTTTTGGTACCTGAAGTTGCCTCCTCTTTTCAAATCAAGGTTGAGGGCAATCATTCCCGGCCTAAAGTCAAAGTTCTCCTTGATGAGAACCAATATGTCCTTGTCTGGGATTTTTCCAGTTTTGTAGGTATCCACGAAAACCGACAGGGGATCTGGGACGCCAATTGCATAAGAAACCTGAACAATACAGCGGCGAGCAAGCCCGGATGCAACAACACTTTTTGCTGCCTGCCTTACAATGTATGCACCACTACGGTCAACCTTGGTTGGATCTTTTCCAGAGAAAGCACCACCACCATGAGCACCCCAACCACCATAGGTGTCTATAATTATCTTCCGGCCAGTGAGCCCAGCATCTCCATGGGGTCCTCCAATGACGAATCGACCTGAAGGGTTCAAGTGGTAGATAGTTTTGTCATCAATGAATTGAGCTGGGACGACAGGTTTGATCACATGTTCCTTCAAATCAGCAGCAATCTGCTCATTTGTGACAGTCTCATCATGTTGGGTTGAGATGAGGATGGTGTGCACCCGAATAGGGACCATGGCCCCGTTCTCGTTCTGGTACTCAACAGTCACTTGGGTCTTACCATCGGGCCTCAGCCATGGGACCGTCTTATTCTTTCTGACCTCCGTAAGCTTGGCACCAATCTTGGTAGCAAGGACATGGGTGAGTGGCATGAACTCAGGTGTCTCATCAGTGGCATAACCAAACATGTGGCCTTGGTCGCCAGCTCCAATTTCCTCGGGCTTCTTGGTAAGGTGACCATGAACTCCCTCTGCAATTTCTGGGCTTTGTTTCTCAATGTTGACGAGGACTTTGCAGTTGTCAGCATCAAGGCCTACATCAGCTGATGTAAACCCAATTCCTCTGCAAGTGTCTCGGACTATTTTCTCGTAATCTACTTTCGCTTTTGTTGTGATCTCACCGAAGACCATGACCATGTTGGTTTTCGTACATGTCTCGCATGCAACTTTGCTCTCCGGGTCTTGTTCCAAGCAAGCATCGAGAACGGCATCTGAGACTTGGTCGCAAAGCTTGTCGGGATGTCCCTCGTTGACAGATTCGGAGGTGAAGAGGAACGTTTCCATCTCTAGACTGAGAAAAACCAAAAATAATACGAATCACTTCTCTATTTCGACAAGAAAACTGAAATCTCAAGAAAAAATTATACAAGCCTGTGAAATATGAAAGCATGCATAAAATGTCACATGCTATGCCAAGTCTAAACAATTCCCACCTTCCCTACCGATGAAATCCGAATTTCGATTACAAAAATCTAGACAACGATGAACAAGAATTAGCTACAGATATCGGCAAACCAATACACATTTAACACAATTCTAGATCTAATTAAACACCACAATTCTTCAAGAGATCCAACGATAAAATTCAGACCATACAATTACAAAACCATAAACACCAAATCCTCAAATTATTAATCATATAGCTATATGATCTGATTATATATGATTTACGTAAATGAACATCGTTGTGTCGTTGATATAGGATCTGCAACAAAATGTTAAAATATGTTTATTACAGTTAATTGTCCTAAATTTAAATGTTACAAAAAATCCCTCAAATGTAATGAAGGAATTGGATCCAAAGAAACAAATGACATGCAAATCAAAAAGCAAAAATCGGTCGGTCCTACATTGTTCGAAGCAATTACGAAATATTGGATCGAGATCGAAAGTAGAACATGAACGAACCTCTGTGTGTGCGAGCGAGAGAGGAGAAGGAAGGATAAGAGAGACGCGAAAAAAAAATGAAAGAGAGGGATGCGGAGATTGGAGAGTTGTATTTATATATAGGAAGCAAAGTTACGTCTGACTCGTTCTTTCTCTAACATTTGGCTTTGGTCGTACTGGGTCCTACTTAGTTGCCATGTGGACTTTCACTAGCCAATCAGAACTTGCCAACTCGGCATGTATATAGTTGTGGGACAAGTTTAGTTTACCCATGCAGTATGAAGGTTTGTAAACGGATCGGATTGCATGTATATAGTTGTGGGGAACTAGTTCAACACATTGAATCCTAAACCCTAATTCGACCACGGTTCTTTCTTGTAAATAATTTTGTTTTTACAAATGATAACATTAGTAGGTTAAATTATTAACATTGTCACTTTGGCATTCCTATTTGATGCAAGTCATGTTTGAGCTGCCTCATAAGTTGTGTGGAAGATGAATTAGCATTATGAATGGGAAGAGGAGGGAGATAAGGGGGGTTTTTTGGGGGGGGGGGGGGGGGGTGATGGTGATGGGGGAGTCCACATTTGATTAGCTTATTTAGTGATGTGATAGAAACTAACACACAAATTAAACCCTTTTTATGTAGTTGTAGTATGTGAAAGTAGGGATCGTTCTAGGTCGGGGATTAGAAGGGCCTCTAATCTACAAATTAGACTCAATCACACTTAACTATACTTAAAAACAGAAAACTAGACTCTAATGACTTAAAACAAGCTAAATTGACCTAAACAACACAAAACTAAGTTAAAATGACTCAAAACATGAACGGGAGAGTGATTTGAATGAAAATCTAACTTAACTTGACTCAAAACACTAAAAAGAAACTAGTTTGAACATATTCTAACTAAAAGACACGAAATATAAAGGGGGAAGTGGTTTTGATGAAATTAAAGTAAAAACAAACAGATCTAAAGACTCTAAACAACTTTGGACGAAATTGGGTGTTTAAATGGGTGAATGGTTAGCTAGAGGGTTCTTCTCCACACATGACACATATGCATACAAATCGTTTCCAGTTATTATTCCTATAAACCATGAATGACAACGCCCAAAGTTAACAGTGAACTGCACAAATTAACTCTCAGATTTTCCTAATTTCATTGAATTGGATGGATAACGCATCGGTAACCAAATTATTCTTCAATAGTTCCCTACATGAACAACATAATAGAGATACAATCAAAGATCGTTAAGCTTTGTGAAAATCATAAGCATTGACATGACATTCGTAACTATGAACTGCATGATACTCCTGCCATGGATTTACTTAACATGATTGTGACTAGCAACCTCCACTACTTATAAATATAAGTTCATAACGATTAGGTGAAATTCCCTTATATTTTAGCATCAAATTCATGCATGCAAACTAAGTATGCATCCTTAATCAACATACAAGAATAAGTTATCAATCAAACAGATAAGTAAATCACATTCATGTTTTACGAAACAATAACTGGAGGAAATCAATTCATATCACATATATGTTCATGGCTTTGAATCCACCTCTAGCTAAAATGAGTTTAGTTCCTTATGTTCGCACTGAAACAAAGATAACTTAAATTAAACATTGAAAGCAAAAGATAGAATACACCTAAGAACGTTCTAGCAATCCAAGCTTGAATGGCAAGGCACAGCTCCAATGGTCTCCTCTCCTTTCTCCTTGCAAAGTTGCGGCACTAGATGGATTTGTGTGTATGATTGATGTGTGGTGTGAATTGTGATGAGAGATGGGTCATGAATGAAGGCTGCTGATAGGAGCATATTTAGGCGACTTACTTAGCTTGTTTTTGTGCATCTATGTTGTTAATTCATAGTTGTTTTAGTAGTTTAAGCCATTTTCGTGTGTTTTTAGGTTCATATGGCTAAGGAAGCAAAAAGATGCATTTTGGAGCAAAATTGGGCTTGGAATGGATAGCATATGATTGGAGCCAAAGTGTTGGACGAATTTGAAGGCCTTGTATTCATTTTGGACATAAAACAAAGGGCCTAGCCCATTCTCTCTTAAACCAACCCCAAGGCCATGCATTTCCTTCCAATTCCAAAGCCCACAATCACTTCAAAAGCCATGCAAAGAACCATCCATTCCATCAAAAACAATCCATCAATTCACATGCAAAACCACCATTAACACACATGCACCCAAACAAAGCCAACCTAGCTAACCCTACATGCATTCTTTATGCAACTCTTCATCATTCCACCATTCATTCTTTATTCCACAAACAAGTCACATGCATTTCCACCTTCCTACTTCATCATTTCACCACATTCTCCCTCTTTAACTCATTTCATTATTCATTCACTTTGCATTCATTCAATTCCACCCCACATGCACCCTTTATTCTTCATCATTGCAACCATGGCACATTTACACCAACAAAACAACTCCCATGCCATGGCCTACTCATATTCCCATTTCCTTTCCAACATCTCACATGCATTTCCACCTTCCTACTTCATCATTTCACCACATTTTCCCTTTTATTTCCACATGCAATTCTTCATCATTGCAGCCACAAACACCTTAAACAAATAGCCATATACATCTCCACTCCTCCTATAAATACCCTTGCATTCATTCATTCAAAAATCATCTCATCTCATTCACAACACAACACACCACAAACACTTCCCTAGCCGTGAGTTTCTCTCCCTTAGAATCCAAAAACCATCTTCCATTCCCACCACTCCTCATCCATTTCCATAATTTCCCAACACTTCCATCCCCCCAACCAACTATCCCTAGACCTTATGCTACAATAAAGAGGAAGATAAGAGGGCCTAAACGTTCATACAATTCAAGATTGAGTTGTTGGAATGTTTAGGCGTTTCTTTGATTTCAATG